TTAAACGGTGAGATCCAGCAGATAACAGCATCACACGTCATGATTTTCTACGCAGCAGTTTGAAAGTCTCGCGTTAGGGCGCATTACCATGCAGCTGCTGAAATATGAGCAAACATTCACACCTCTTTTTTTTTTTTTTAAATGTCGTTCTGGCTGCAGGCTGATTATTCCTATGTTGTATTCAGAGAATATAAAAGTTCGTATTACGGGCCCGAATATAGATTTTTTTTTAAAGGAGCTATAAGACTCTATGAATTTAAACTTTACATTCCCCCTTAAACAGGATATTTTTTGGCTGGAGTCTGGTTCTGCTGCAGTAAAAATATGGGAAGGCTAAACCGTGACCTTTGTGATGGTCATAAAGCAAACAGCAATTAAAAATCCCCCAGCCAAGACTTCATCTTTACACCCGCCTGAAGCTGCCCCATATGATATGTAACATTTATTTATTTCACATAATTCAAATCAACATAAACAGGTGAGTTTATGTGATTTTACTCCACTTTTTCCATCCTATTCCATGACTAAATACGTGTGTTATCCGGCTTTAAAAACATATAACAATAAAGAAAAAGAAAAACACATACAAACAAACAGACAGGGATACCTGAATGTGCTGCAGTTCTCCTCCTCCAAACAGCAAAACTTTTCCTCTGCTCAGATCAAATCTCATGTTTGGTCGTTAAAAGAAATCCAGGGTTATGATCCATTCAACCGCTTCCTCTGATCGAAATCTGTCAAAAGAGATGTCACTGAGTTTGTATAAAGTTGATACAGTGTACCAGTCTGTGTGTTGAGCCCCAGCAGGCTGCAGCTCGAAGTGAAAACCAGTTTTTTCCCAGCAGCTGTCACTGCACCTTTGACTCTGGCCTTCCACACGAGCCACAGAGAGAGGCAAATGACGATTCATAAAACCCACGGTCTGCCTGTGTTTATAAATCTAAATCAATATTCAAATCTGTTTGAAGTGAGCGGGTGTGTCCGTGCAAGCGCGCAGTGTGTGTAACTGTCTGTGTGTGTGTGTGAGAGTGAGTGTCTGTGTGTGCGTGTGTGTGTGTAGGTGTTCCACAAAGCCTCTTAAGATGATACATTTACCAAGCCGTGACAAAAACCCTCAGCATATTATTTTGAGATGGGCACGCAGGTTCAAAATTCAAGTGACATAGAGGAGGCTTATTTGTCCCGTGCAGCTTGTGGGTCCTCCAGTAAATATGAAAAAAGATGAATCCTGAACTTAATGATTGTTATGTAAATAATAGCCAATATAAATAACATTATTATTATTATTATTATTATTATTATTATTATTATTACAATGTTACTACACAAAACTTCCAAAATGCACTTTCTTGTATATTAAATCTAAAATAAAACAGGCCTACCTTCATATTTGTCTTTTTATCTTCTTTCACATCTTCCTCGTGCGGGAGTGAAATAAGTGACCCACCGGCCTGTATCTGGTGCCCCCCCCTCCTCCCCTGTTATTTATCCTCCTGTCTGGCCCTATGTGCACTGCAGGTCCGGTGCAGGTCCTCGGTTGCTCGGTGGCTCTCGGTGGGAACTCTGCTGTGAAATATTCTGGGTGAATTTTGTGGTGCAGGCCTGTGTGAGGGCTGATGGGAGCAGACTGGCTGGCTCTGCGGACGGGAGGACAGTTTTAAGAAAATAAGTCGCTCTAAATCCCCTTTTTTTGCGACGCGCTGGAATGTGAGAGGACGGTGCAGCCTTCACATGGAGAGAGCCCTGCTTTAGGCGGGATTTTTCTTGTCTTTTTTTTTTTTTGGGTCAGATTTATTTTGCTTTCCGATATTTAACTCTTTTATATAACACGCAGACTTATAAACACACTGAAAGCTTATTTTTCTCCTCATAAAGTCTGAAATTTCATGTCAGGGTGCTTTAATATCCCTCGATTGTCACAATTCTCGGATTTAAAAAAATTAAATAAAAATAAAGGATGACTTTTATACGCACTCACTGCAGATAAGTGATGCACTGGAACATATTTTAAAAGCATGACACCACTATTATACTGTACATACATTATATTTTCAGAAAAAAAACTCTTTATTTGCCCATATATTTCCCCTCTTCACCCACCAGCCTTCATATAACTTTCCTCAGTTTAATGCATCCACTGGATAACAACTATTTTAAATTTTAAAAAAAAAGGTGACTAAACTGACTTTTCCTTGGTTTAAACTCCACTTCTCGTCATCCACCAGCATACCGTTTATTTATTATCAATGCACCCTCTCTGCGGTGGGATGGGGATGTTGTCAGTCGCCCTCTCGCTGCCATTGGCTGAGGACTGTGCGTCAAAAAAAAAAGTAGCTGGAGACATTTGTTTCCCAGAAAAAAAAAAAAAGAAAAAAAAAACCCTCATCCTCCCCACCGGTGTGAGAGACGGAGACAGAGACAGACCTCAGCTCAGTCCTGCGGCTCCTATTGGCTGGCAGTTTGTACAAAATCCAACTCAAACCACTTCACTCACAACACACCAACAAATCCTAAAGGCGTACATGCAGCCTCCTCCATCACTCCGCCGCTGTCGCACCGCTTCCAACCCTGATGCAGGCGCTCACCGTTTAACTTTTATCTCTTTCACCGTTGTTCTGCCTCTGAAGACGGCTGCTTCTGCTCCCGGTTGGTTTTGTGCTTTTTTTTATCCGCCAGGACGTCGTTTGCGCTGAGTTTTATTATTTCTCCTGGAGGAAACCAAGCAGACAAAGAACTTTACAGTCGTCGATATCAGGGTAAGTTTCACTTTTTTTATTATCATATTTATCATTCTTTTTATTTGTATTATTAGTGATATCGAAATAAGGAATCGTGGTAGAGTCAGAGAAGTAAAATAATAATAATAATAATAATAATACAAGTCTACAAGAAATCACACCTGTTCTAAAACCACTTTTAAAAGGCTCACATTATTTTCTTTAAAAGAGAGAGGGGATCAGGTTCCAACAGTGGTACTGGTGCTCAAATAAAACCCACGAAGACTGAAAGAAATGGCAGTGAGAAAGCTTTGGGTTGTTTAGTGGCATCAAACTGCAGATGAAGGCTGAACCCTCTTAAACTCACTCTATTATTTATTTGAGTCCAGAGACAGTGAGTGTGTATGTCTGCTCACCAAACCATTTTAGATGAACATCAATCTTAACGACGTATATTATATAAATGCACACAGAGCATCCGGTAACTACAGCAGCAAACTGACGAAGTTGCATTGTGATAGGCTCTGTTAATGGAAACAAGGACGGTTCAAACCTAAATTAAAGCTTTTCTGATATCATAATTGCATTTTTTGTCCCCATAATGTAAGATGAATGGAGGCAATATTACACAAATATCACACTCTCACTGTCTGAAGCCAGTCCTGCCACCGAGAACACCGACTCCATATTCACTGAGTTGAACTTTCAACTCAGAACGAAACCTTAAATTTATTTCACACTGCACGTACGAGCTAGAATTACAGAGCCAATAATGCAACTACAGCGGATCATTGTGGAGGGCTGAGGCTGAGAGCTGCACTGGGGAGAAAGAACATTTATAGGCCTGCTATCGAAAAATGTGTCGCGGCCTTTTCTCTCTCTCTGCTGGCTGTGCTCAGCCTCCAGAGAGGAATAATGTAGAGGACAATAAACCAACACGACACATTTCATAAGCTTTACGCGTGTTTTCGAGGTTCTGGTGGCTTGATTGTATGTATGCGTCCAAACAGCTCGGTTAAATGAACATTTAGAAGAATACATTTTCTTTCTTGTAGTTTTTTTTTTTTTTTTTCTCCAAAAGAAAAATTTTATATGATTACAAATCAGCTCCGTAAACGTGCAGTGGTAATTACTAAAGAAAGAGCTGGTGCTGATTTGAGTCCTGGAGTAGTGTATTGATACCAAACTGCAGCTCCACTTAGATGCCACTCGGATTATCTCGTTAATTCATCAACAGAAAAACATTTATTATAATTAATTCTTGGACAGGGAGGTTATTATTGAGCGGGTGTGTGCAACTGGTAGACGGGTCTGTTTTAAGTGCGACAGATTGGGATGAGGGGGTTAAAACCGTTGGATAGTGGGGAAAAAAATGCAACTAATCAAGACGCGCAGTGGGGATGACGGGTGAGGGTCACTGAAGTTGAAGTGACAGCAATCACACATTTCCCAATCAACATCACAGAGCATATTTATCAGTGTTTAAAGAACTGTAACAAATACGTGTTCAGCATGCCTTTCTTTTACTGAATTAAAAGCTGCTCTGCACAAAATTATTTCGTATTTTGATTTTTTTTTAATCCAGATAATTTTCACTCTAATTGGCTCTGATTCATGTTAATCTTAAAAAATAAAGATAGGCCCTATTTATTCAGGATTTTAACGACAATAATTTAAAATGTTGGCAATCTTAAATCAGGAATTAGGTCTGAAATATGATTATTTATGCTGACTGTCGAGTTTTATAGAATCGGTGTCAATAACATAAATTCAGTTTCCACGTGCCACTGATTGTCAATTTAAATGTATAAACAAAACTGAACATAAAACAGAAAGAAAAAAAGAGAAATAGAAACAAATCGAAAATGAAGTAAAATGGTGTCTGTTCACTTCAGAACAGACACTTCAGTTCTGGCAACTGGGCTTTTAATTTAGCTTTTTAATTATTTTAATTATTATTATCCAGGGAAGTTATAATAATAAGTATTTTATTGTACTTCATACACAAGAACCAGTGCCTTTAACTGAACTTTCAAGTGACTTGTTGCAGTTATAGTGTCGGTGAATTGCTTTTTGTTTGTGGGAGGAGGGGTTGGGGACAGCTGGAGATGGTTGGTGTTTATTGAGGAGCGCCGTGCGTTTCGGAGAGGGCTTATTTTGCGACAGCGCCGTGTAAACAGACACAATCTGTCTTCACAAGGTGCATCTTCATCGATGTCTTTTTCTCTTGTCGTTTTTTTGAAACAGGTTCCCGGTATAACACGGACCACACGGCGCACAGAGGACACCAAGTACACCTCGGGAGCTCCATCAATTTTCAAAATTTTCTCCAACTTCAGCCCTCAGACAAACATTAGCATGATGTCGTATCTAAAGCAACCACCTTACACAGTCAATGGCCTCAGCTTAACAACTTCCGGAATGGATCTTTTGCATCCATCAGTGGGCTATCCAGGTGGGTTTAAACTTCATAAAGACTAAAAAGTCTTAACAGTAATGGCTTGGGGCTACAAAATTAACGGACTGGGGAGGTTACAGTGTGTAATCTGGACCTATTTCAAAACCTATTCATATAATAATGACTGGGAGATGCAATAAAAACGAGTAAATGTGTTATTATTTCAGCAAAACCTCTTGCGCAAACGCACAAGCTGGAGGAAACTGAAGCCTACTCTTGTGTTCATTTAATTTAAATTGTGCCTGTCGAATTAATTACTGGAAATGGCTTTGATTTATTCAAACTGCATCACATTTTTGGAACATTAGACTTAAGTACGTCAAGTGGTACAATTTGCCATCGGCGTCCAATGCTCACAGGACTCGTGCGTAATTACGCAAACAATAAAAAATATATTCTGTGATTCTGTAACAGACTTTTGATCTTTTTACTAGCTTGTTGTTATTAATGGATACATGAGTAATATAATTTAATGATTTACATTTCCCTTTCACTTGCAGCAACGCCACGGAAGCAGAGGCGAGAGAGGACTACTTTTACGCGCGCACAGCTCGACGTTTTGGAGGCGTTGTTCGCCAAAACTCGGTACCCCGACATATTCATGCGCGAAGAGGTGGCGCTGAAAATCAATCTACCTGAGTCCCGAGTTCAGGTGAGTTAATCAGATCTGCCATATTTGAAAACTGATCCATGTGGATAAATATTTTAATTATGAAAAAAAATGAATGAATGATTAAACAGCTACTGTGTAGATTTAACAATCTGAAAAAAAATAGTTTGTGTAGACGACAGCTACAGCTCATTAACTGGGGTAAATATGAAACAAAAGAGATAGATTAAAACAAAAAAATCTATTTTAGATCTGCACTGTAAGAAACACTCATCTTAACCCATGACTGACAGTATATCTGAAGCTTAGCATTTTGTCTGCCTTAAATCCAGTGGAAAACTTTTGCCAGTGGGGTGAGATAATGCCACTTAATGACAGATTCCACATACCAAAAAATTAAAAACTTGATTTTGTGAAAAAGCAGAGAAACATCTTCATTTGGACTGAAAAGACATGAAATAAATCTGTATTTTTTTTCCACATTGACTGATAATTATAAAAATACGTATGTTGGGACAATATTTAACTATTTGTACTCTATTCGAAAAACGTAGAATTAGGCTTATATTTTCTCTAGAATTAAGGGATTTCGACAATAACATGTAGCAATATGTGGCTCTTCCAGGTCTGGTTTAAGAACCGGCGGGCAAAGTGTCGCCAGCAGCAGCAGCAGCAGCAGAACGGGGGCCAGAACAAGGTGCGACCTGCCAAAAAGAAAAGTTCCCCAACCAGAGAAGTGAGCTCAGAGAGCGGGGCCAGCGGCCAGTTCACGCCCCCCACCAGCACCACCACAGTCCCCGCCGCCATCTCAACCAGCACCGCCCCAGTGTCCATCTGGAGCCCGGCGTCCATCTCTCCGCTCTCAGACCCCCTTTCTACCTCCTCCTCCTGCATGCAGAGGTCATACCCCATGACCTACACCCAGGCCTCGAGCTACAGCCAGGGCTACGCCGGTTCGACGTCCTACTTCGGGGGCATGGACTGCGGCTCTTACCTCACCCCCATGCACCACCAGTTGTCAGGCCCCGGCTCAACTCTCAGTCCAATGAGCACAAACGCGGTCACAAGCCATCTGAACCAGTCCCCGGCGTCCCTCTCCACCCAGGGCTACGGGACGTCCGGCCTGGGCTTCAACTCCACAGCAGACTGCCTGGATTATAAGGACCAAGCGGCATCGTGGAAGCTGAACTTCAATGCCGATTGCTTGGATTATAAGGATCAAACTTCCTCGTGGAAATTCCAGGTCCTGTGAACAGAGCAATCAGCTGTTTAAAAAAAAAAAAAGTGCACAAACAGTGACGATCACATCAGACACAGCGCTGCCATCCCCTCAATAAAACACATCGGACTGGTTAAAAGTGTCAGCCGGGCTCGGCGAGGCAGGGCTCTCAGGGGCCTCGGGGGGTTTTATTTTGGCATGATGGTCATTGGTCCTCCTAGAGGAGAGGTTTAATTTATTTTAGCACTGGCAAAGAGATTTCTTTTTGTTCCGTTCATTCACAGGTCGTAGCCCCTCCATCCATGTCTGTCAGTGTGTGCCTCTATGCGTAAAAAAAAAGAAGAAAACACCTGTTGAGGACAACACAAAGCGGACTCTGACAGAAAAGTTACACCCCAGCCACGGAACTAACGTTTATTCCAAGAACAAAACTCAAGTTCACTCTTCTGGTGAAGCGCTCGGGATGGACAGACCCTCCTTTAAAAGCTTCTTACACAACTTTGCCGACCTGCTGGCAGAGAGACATGAGGATGGTGTGTGGACATGGATGCACTACTTTATTTAAGAAAAAAAAGTGTTTATAAGGAATCAATATGTAGTTTCTAAGAGACAATCAGTGTGTGTCTTATATAAATGGTACATTATGTGTTTTTTTTATCTGTGCTAGCCTTCGAAACTGTGATCTGTTGTATTGTATGCAATTTGTGAGCCCCCCTCGCATCAGACTCTCTGCTGTGATTTTAATAGATTTCTAACTTTTTTGGAAACAACGAAAGATGCTAATGGTTAAATTACCGGCATCATAAAGAGAGACGAGACTTTCCGAGCACATGGTAGTAATAATCAAGGGTTAGCCCCACTGGAAATGACTCTCGGCTGCTGAGAGCTCCACACTTGCTCCCCTCCATTGATCTCAACACACGGTGATTGTGGATCCTTTACTGGCTCCAAAGATGGTGTGACCTCACCGCTGAAAAGACATGAATAAAGGTCCTGTGAGCTTACTCTTTCATCAAGAGACGATCTGTGTGTGTGTGTGTGTGGGGTGAAGAGGGGGAACATGGAGAATGAACACAGTGACAGTCAGGTAATGTGTGTAAAATTAATCGTGGGTATTTTTTGAGAAGCAGGAATATTCTTAATAAATGAATTATGGGAACAAAATCACAAAGGCACATTTTCAGCTTCTATAAAACGAAATCATAGTGAGTGAACACTCAATTATACAACTTATGGTAATCATTTGAAGTTTTATTTTAGATAGGCCTAATTTAAAAAAAATCTCAACATTTAGGGTCATTTAAAGTAATTACATTTAATTTATTTTTTAAAACTGAAGGACGGTATAGTTTTTTTTATAGGTGTGTTAATTAAGCCAATCATTATTTCTCAGTGGCGACCAAACTCTGTTTCATCTTGCTTCATTAGTTTATCCAACATGTGATATCATAAAAACCTATATTAACACACATCATATCTATTGTATTGTAGCCTCATTACTGTATTTAGAGCCACTCAGAGCTCATAGTAGCTAATAAAGGAGGATACTTTTTAAAAAAAAAAATCTGTTAGAGGCCTGTGAACGAAAAACAGACAAATTAGACCCATGCTCCCACTGAAAATAATAATATGGGGTTATAGTTCATCCTGGGTCTGTTCAGGTGGCGGAATTAACGTTTTTCCCCTTTTTCTGGGTTTCCGGTATTCATATAGTGTGAACAAAGAGAGTGTGCGGTTTGAGAAAGCAGCGTTAAATCCCGGCCTCCAAGAGATGTTAATCCCAATATTTTACCGGCGGGGGTTTCTGTGTGGCACAGGGGCAGCAGTGGTCCCATTCAAAGCACACCGCATGGGTTTACATGCCTGATCCCCAAATGTGCGCTCTAATATGAAGCCTATAATATTTCATATAAAAAGGGGGGGGGGCTTTTTTAAACCAAATTATTATTCACGACCCAAGAAAGCTTACTAACCAACACTGCAACTGCAAAAATTACC